GAGCACGGCCTCCTGAGGATAAATTAACTGTCTTAAGGCCATAGTGGTCAATGGTTTTTTACCTAGTTGAAGACAAGCCGTGAACCAGGAGCTTGAGCGATGAAAGCAGATAGCGCTGCTTGGCTAGATGATAGTGAAGTATCACAGTGATGGTAAATCCATCCAGAAATGTGTTCTCTGCTTCCCTGGTATTTTTTCACTTTAATGGCCAAATTGATAATGGAAGGCAAAGGAGTTGTCTGTGTTAAGACAAAATTTGGAAAAGAGTTGTTGGAAAATACTGGAATAATGAAGGGGAAACACCGAATGCTAAGTTGTTCATCTGATAGGTTGAAACAAGAGAAGATGAGGAACAAAACATCAAATTGGCAGAAATTTTGGAACTCTTGGTGGCTGCTGGGTATTTTCGAGCAAGAATCAAAGGATTAACACCCTTTGACAAGGTGAGACTGATGTAGTATTCTTAGAAGCCTGTTTTCAATATATTTGTGTGAAATATTTTTCCAAATTTGCTGGTATACTTGTTCTGGGTATTATAGCATATGTTTATGAGTCAGTTTTATTGGGAATTTTGCCCCTCTCACTTGGCTGCAATTAGAATAGTTAAAAGACTTAATGTTTGGAGATGGCTTTTTTTTTAAAAAAAAGAAATACTTATTCTAAATAATAGGAAGTGGAGGAGACTCTGAGAAAGAACAAAACAGTTGGCTCAGTGAGATTATTTTTGAGGACTCTTGTTTCATATTTTTAGTGTTTTGTATATGAACATTTCTTTGTCCATACTGACAGGAAGTATATGATACTGATGGTGAGCAGAGGTCAGGCAGCAAGAGGTTTCCTCACTGTTTTTGTGCTGACTGTGTGAAAATTTTTAAACGGAGCTTTGAAAACACAGAAGTATGATAGAGTCTTTGAAATGGGCTCTTCTGCCTTCTGTTGCTTCCTTGGTGTTAGCACAGCAATGCAACCTTAGTTTCTTAAAACCATGTAGCACTGCAGATCATAAGTGATCAAGAAGCTCAGATAAGTAGTAGCTTCAAAGAGTCTGCCTCCGTATGCAGTTTTATTGCTTTTATTTGTTTAGAGGGGTGCATTGGGGTTTCATATGATTATGATTTCATATGACAGTGCCCAATTGCTCATTTTTGTAGCATTACTATTGAAAATGTGTTTGCTACTAATGTGAAAGGGACACTGATTAACTTGATTAGAGGTGATTGTGAAATAGATAATAGGTGTTAATAAACTGTATATAGAGCACCCAAACTTGCGTGATGTTGGTAAGTCATGCCACACTTTGAATCTCTTTTTCCTGTTTTGTTCACTGTTCATTTCTTTTACGTTGCGTATGCTTAAAGTTTCTCTTCAAATACCCAAGTAACTTACATAGTTGATGAGATGATTCAGGTGCTTAAATGTCCCTAAAATGTCTATGAGAGTAGGGCCTGACAAGGAGAATTTCAGAGCTAGGAATTTCTACTACTGTGTTTGTACAGTGCCTAGCACTTGGTGTGTCAAATGACAGCATGCGAAGAATAATAGAAGTGTTGTTAATTATGTTTTGTAAAATTTGCATTTGGTTTATTTGGTCACTTTTTAATGATGATGGCACGTATATAACTCTGTGCGTGTTTGTGTTTTTGTTTTAAATCAGAGAGCTCTATTTCAAAACTAAGAGCATAAATTAGAATATCATTAACTATTCTATTTTTACATCCCTTCCTAAAGAGGTATAATGTACATGTATATTGTATGGGGAAGTTGATGTATCTGTATCTGTAGATCCCACTTTCACACTAAGGATACAGAAACTATTAAGTATATTTTTTAAAATAAATAATGACTTTGAGATGTACTTTTTTAACCTCTTCAGCTGTAAAATGAACTAACAGTTCTCTTTCTCCTTTGCTAGGTGGTAGGTGGCATGACGTGGTGTATCACTACCTGCAACTTTGATATCGATGTTGATTTATTGTTTCAGGAAAACTCTACTATTGGTCAAAAAATGTAAGTTGCCAAAATGAGTGTGTGTTTTTTTTTTTTTTTTTCCTTGTATGAAAATAAGAGGGAATATGGGGAGAGTTACTTGATACTCGCTCGTATATAAGAAGGTATTTTAGTAGAACTCTCCTGCTTTTCAAAGTCACTCATTTATAAAGCATTGCGCTGGTTTCTCATTCCATAGTTTTTCAAACACTGAATGTGTTTAAAAAAAAAAAAAAAAAAGCTTATTCGAAAGCAAGCAGTATTATCACCTGCTGGGCTGCCCAGCAATCATGCCCCTGCTCTGCAGTGAAAGCATCTATGTGGTAGCAAAGCACACAGTGCTGGGAAGTGATCCAGCTAAAAACTTACCAAAAATAGTTTCAACATGAATCAGTTTCTGGATCCAGTTTTCTGTGCATCTGCACAGATGCTTGTGCTGGCACAAGGTGATGATACAAAAGCCAAAACAAAGGGCAGAGAGTCTCCACACAGCTGGAAACTGGAACACAGCACTGACCTTCTTGAGCTCCCTCCAGCTGCAGTTTTTACTGTGTAAAATAACCTCTGATCTTTTTTCCTTTTCTTTTTTTTTATCTTTCCTGTTTTGAAACTGTAGACATTGTAATATGCAGTCTAAACCATGACCGTGTAGTCTAAGCAGTTATCTGCCCCAAACTGGGGAAAAGGAATTCCTTCATGCTAGTAACCTCATGAGACTCTTTTGGTTTGATAACACTTCTTATTCAGGGAACTAGCCAGCTAATTCCTGTATTAGGAAAGGCTGCGACAATCATTTATGCTGAGAAAGGGAATACATTCCAAAGTACATTATTTCTTGATGTAGTTCTGTGATGAAATAGCAAGAAATAAGAACAGCCTGTCAAGTTGCAGTTTTATGAAGAGATTTATTTTCCACTGTAAATTAAAAATGCGCCTTACTGTAGTACCTTGACTATCATCTTACATCGGCAAGATTGAGGCTGTTAAAAACAGCCATCTTCCATCCTCCCTCCTGCCATTAGATTTAGTCACTTCCATCATGATGGATAGCTAGTTACATAAAGTATTGTTAAAGGTGCAAATCTAACAGAGGATAGAAATGAAGTCTGCATATTTTAGTTCAGAGTAACTATACTTGAAGATAGTGTGTGTTCACATGTTACAATATTCAAAGATGTTTGCAGATATTCTGAACATGGGCATTTTACCTGAATATGCAGATATTAAAATTTCTGTAATGTTGTAAATGTAGTAATGAGTTATAAGCCTGTAAATGGGGTTTAGTCATTTTCATAGACTGTTAATATATGCAGTATGAATTAAAAGCATGAAAAGCAGAAAACTTGACCACTTTTCACAGCAATATACAACTTAAACTAGTAGAGGGGGGCTACTATTTGTTTGCAAAAATAATAAATAATTCAATGTTTTTAAAATTATAGCGTAGCTGAATGTATTTTCTTTTTCTTTCTTTTTTTCTTTAAATAGTGCCTTAACTGAAAAAATTGTATCAGTATTACCAAAAATGAAGTGTCCTCATCGCTTGGAACCACATCAGATTCAGGGATTGGATTTCATTCATATATTTCCAGTTGTACAGGTAACCATTTTGTTGTTTATCAACACTTTGCTGAACAGAGGCCAAAAAACGTAACATAGATCTATGTGACTGTTTGACTCTCTATTTGATCTCGGAATGAATAATCAAAGAGAAGTACTCTTAAAAACAAAGCAAAACAGACAAAAAACCCTCAAAGCCACCCTTATTTTAGTGATGGAATTTTTGTCTGATTGACCTTCAAGAAAAACATAAACTCCTTAAGTTATTTGCAACTGAGTCAGAGTCTGCCTCTTGTGGAATTTTCCTGCTTGAAGAAACCCAAAGTTTAAGCTTGTTCTGGAATCTGCTAATCTACTTTGCCAGACTGTGAACTGCAGCAAGTACAGTCTGTGTTTAAGTTCATGGAGTAAGTTGCAGTCGCTCAAACATGAGCATAGGAATAAGTTTAAATGTCATGTGGCTTTAAGTCTTTTGGCCTAATTAAACATTTATTTTTATTCTTCATTCATATCACTTAAATAACATGTGATCCAGTTACAGTGTATGTGCTAACCATATGAATGCCTCTTTTTTTTTTTTAAGGTTTAAGCTAATACATGTGATATGTTCAACTGATGTGTGCTGTCTTTTAGAATGTGTGTAAATCTTGGTGCACAGTTAACTTTTTTCAAACTTCAGTTCATCCGTTCATGAATATGCATCCTTGATAAGTAGGGAAAATGAACAAGAGTTCAGCAAATTTCTGTAAATATCTTCTTGCCTCTTTCCAGTGAGAGAATTTGGCAAATAAGAGTTTGATCTAGATGCTCCTTTGTAAGAATCAGGGAAACCTTCCTGTTTCCTCTTTCCTCTTACGCTGTAGTGGGAGGCTCCTGAGGAAAAATACCTCTAACTGCCCTCCCTACCTAAAGTTGTGCACTTTATCCTGCTGTTACCAAAACAGCTTTCAAGCTGTGCTCGTGCTGCATGGCGTGGGAAGTTCTCTCTCTCATCCGTGTGAGTTTATGTCTGAATTTCTACTTTCCTAGCAACCCTTTCCTGACAGTCATTTTGTGTCTTAATTACTTTAAAGTAATAATGATTTTGGTTATAAATACAAGATTTACCAGGTATGCTTGAAAAGTAATTCCTCTCCTAAAATAAAAATATAAAATACCACCCCTGCTGTAAAAACTGTAGCTGCAGGTATTCTTTTCTTTGTCCTGCTTTTTCGAAAATGCTGAGTAGGGATATTACTTCTGGAAGGAAGAAGCATTAAGCAGAGTGGAAAATTAGTTCCTAGATTTCTCCTAGAGCAGTAACTCTCAATAGCTGGCCAGTAGGTGGTACATAAAATCCACATTTGGTGAGGGAAACTTACTTGATGGGTTTTTTTTTTTTTTTTAAAGGAGAGTTCCTGTAGGGTTCAGGCTGATTCCAATACTCTTATTTCCTCATTTCTTCCTAATAAAGGTGGATTTCCAAGAAAGGTTTAGGTATATGCTGGTATATGTTAAATAGTCAACTGCAGATTGTGTTCTGTAAGATCATGTAAGAGCTATAGTAGACTGACCACACCATGGCAATTAGGAAGTGTATATTTAATAATGACACTTTATTCAATAGCTCATCAAACTTAAGATTTAAGGATAACATATTAATCTCAAATGTAAATAGTATAGAAGCTTTTTTCTCTATCCTGCAGTGTCTCTCAAATACCTTTTGTGCTGTGGCTGCTAATTCAGTGAACTTCAAAGCAGGAATTAAGCTGCAGATTCCTTACTGGCCTGGATTATATTGAGCTGGTTGACTGCCATATACTGTAGAAGAAAAGAAAAAAAAAAAAAACACAGGATCCAAGTTGGAACCTAATGAGCAGAAATGATGCTGTTCTTCCTAATAAACCCTACTTGTGTCTACAGAGAAAAGTACAAATATAATCTTATGTTGAAGTGTTTTGCAAATAATAGCCAACATTTTCAGCTCCCCTGTTTTCAGTTGATTCCCTTCACTTTTAAAGAGTTCTTGGTTTAGGCACTGAAACTCTTGCTGGCCCAAACTTGGATCCTGTGATTGATCTGATCTCAAATGTGACTTACTGCAAGCCTTGTCACCGGCATGCCCATGAGATTTATCTTTTTCCAAAATATTTAAAAATGTACTTGACTCTTTTTAGCTTTCTGTGTGGTCTTATAAATGTCAAAATAAAACTTCTTATATCAGCATTTGGTTCTTGAGCAGTTCATGGACTTGAAGGTATGGCTTTTTTTAGTGGTGCTGCAGTTCTTGAAAAGGAAAAATGATTATCTTTATAGTGATTTATATAGAAATGAGATAACCTTGGATAACCTAGCTGTGATGGTTCCTGCTTAGTGTGCAGCCAAGATGAATGAGATAAGGTTGTGTCCTCAGTGGCTTCCCCTGTGTGCCATGGTGTAATGCAAAAAGATGGATTCTGTGTTAGATCTTGGCATGGAGAGCTCAGCACGCTCTGCTCAAATTCTCGAATGCTTCAATGTCCAGCAGAATTCCAGTCCAACTGCCTGACTCCGTCTGATAGAGATGGATGCTGTGAACAGTTCAAGATGACTTCAAAGAATGACGTGCATGTCATTGCCCACAGACTGCACAAAAGCCACCTGGAGTGTCCATTTATGTCATCCTCAAAGTAAAGGGGGATGTCTATCCCTATGAATGCCCAGGATAAACATATTCTTGTATACCGACTGTAGATTTTACACTTCCTGGAATTTATTGCGTATTCTCTACGACCTGTTAAGTAGAAAAACTGGGCACTAATGGCTTATAAAGTGCGGTAGAGTTTTCAGGGCTTTGCACGTGGAGGATGTTTGCTTTGCTGGCTGCTACAGCTGAAGTCTTGGTCTGGTGACTTGCAGGCTGTGCTGGCTGCTCAGTGGCAGAGGACAAAACGAAAAGTCAGAAAAATGAAGTTCCAGTCTTCTGTGAACCACCATTGTGTATTGTATATTATTCTGCATTACAGTAGCATACATTGTGTGTTTAACATTTCACAAGTAATGACAATGAATACTATAGGTAGTATAGCAGTATCTGATCTGTTGAAATATGTTTTGTTAAAGCACTTCTTGCTTCATCAGTAGCTTTCTTTTGATAGCTAGTAAAGTTTATGCAGCTATCACTTTTGGGAAGGACATTTAGGTTTTCTTTTTTCCTTTTTTTTCTCACTATTAAAGATGCAAGATGAAAGAGAAGTTATTGTTTAAAGTGGCCCAGATCCATTTCAGCAATGTGTCTCATTTTCCTTTTTTGGAATGAACTCAGTATGAGATGCAAATATTTTGATTACAAAAATCTGCTTTGGCAAACTTTCAATGAACTTGGCCTGTAGTTGTGATGATTTCATATGTTTTTGTTTCTAAATCATTTTGTCAACTAGATATATTTGTGCTTGGGCTTGCAATAGCACTTTAACATACATGTTTTATTTTAGTACTTACTATAAGAAATAAATCAGAATTTTAAAGAATTAATTGGAATTTAAAAATTCAGTGTATGAGAAGATGCAATGCTAGGTAGATAATCATACATGAACATACCTACTTCTACAATATATTATTTACAAAATAAAATTCAGAAAAGTATTTGAGGAGGATACCTAAGAAGATCCATGCTTTGCTCCAAGGAGTTTATAAGGCAAGGCAGGTGCATCTTTTTTTAGGCTATTGACTTTCACTGTAATGTGAACAGTATGGGTCAATAAGACAAAGAATTTATAGGTTTTGATAGGCAAAACTTCGGTTATAATGGCAGTCTTGTGGTTTCCTAGTTTATTCATTTACTTGATATTTCTTAGCACATGGTTTGTTTTAAGTCTGTGTGTGTGTATATATACATATATATATATATACAGATATGTGGATAACAAATATGAGGGTAATAGCTTAAAATATACTTTTTACATTTACATAATTATAAAAACCATAGTTATGCAACAGTTTGGGAGTGGGTTCTGCTGTTGTTTTTCTTCTTTCTAATGATATAAAGTTTCTTTTTAGTGGCTGGTGAAACGTGCAATAGAAACTAGAGAAGAAATGGGAGACTACATCCGTTCTTACTCTATATCACAGTTTCAAAAAACTCATAGACTACCAGAGGTAACGTGTGGTTAGTTCTTGCTTCTCTTTTGTCAAGTGGTTGGGTGCAGCACTGGCTCCACAGCTGCTGTAAATCAGCCCAGATGCACTGAGATTGCTGAGACTATGCTGATTTACATCAGGCTGTGTGTATTTTTTTGCCTTTTTTGTCATTTAGTTAATTGTTCTTGTAGGAATCCAAAGCGGAGTTAATCTGGGGGAAAAAATAGAACACCACCAAACTGAGGATCCAGCCATTTACTATGAGTGAGGATTTAGAGATGTCACTTTTCTTCTTTGTAGCTACCTTAGTTTTTCTGTAATATTTGGTACTGCCCTGTCTATCTGACCTGCAAGGTGCCTGCTTCCCAGGGTGGATGTAGAGCTCTGTGCAGTGTGTCCAGACTCACTGTGTGACTGAAACTGGGCTGCCTGGAATGGATTCAAAACCAGCCAGTGTGGTATGGAGAAGCTGATGTAGCTAAAATGCAGGATGCACTGGGAATTGTTATGGCCTTCGTGCTATGTCATCTGTGACTTCCAACTTCGTTTTAGAGTGCTGGCAGGCAAATCTTCTTTCGCTGGATCCAAACCTCAAATCTGGTTCTGAAAGATAAATGTTCAAAGACTTTCTTAAGGAGGGGAAAAAAAAAAAAAAAAAAAAAAAAAGCTTGTGGAAAGGTAGGGTTAGATTTGGGTTGAAAGGAACTAAATGCCTTTCAAATATGTTGCCAGAGAAGTCTGAGCTTCTGTTTTATCTGGAAGCATAGTGGAAAGAGTCATTATGCACTGTTTGAAGCCCTGGTCGCATTCTTTCTCCATCTGACAATAGTCAAATATTGACTGCTTTGAAGTTACATGCTTTGAGTGGTGTTGTGATCCCCTCTTCTCCTGCTGAGGAACTTCCTATTCTGCAGTAATGATTTAAAGTTTCCTTGGCATAGAAGGAGAAAAAAAGTGAATTTGGATTTGTGCCTACAGTGAAGAGCCATCAGTTTTCTTTGTGCATTTCACTCAAAGACCTTTTCATATTTGAAATTTTTAAGGAGAAAAAAAGTGAATTTGGGTTTGTGCCTACAGTGAAGAGCCATCAGTTCTCTTTGTGTGTTTCACTCAGACCTTTTCATATTTGAAATGTAGAACACAAATTTTGCCTCCAGTTCAGTAGTAGGGTTAAAGGCAGATCTCGTTACTGCTGTGAGTGACAGGATTTTGTTTGCTCCTTTTTTTCCTGCTTGTTTTTAATGTAGAGGAAATTAGAGGAATTACAGAGGAAAACTTACTTTTCCATGCTAAGCCCATCCCATTCATTATTTCTTTGGGCTGGAGTAACAAGCTAATGGTCCCAGTAGTGGGCTGATATTGCAAATGTTGAAGGCTGTATGAGCAGACAGTAGAAAGATTATTGATTTGGATATAGTTTTAAAGGCTTGCTGATCTGATGAGTGAAGAAGGAAATAATTGCTGTTTGACTAAACAATTAGTTGAGCAACTGAGTTGGTCATCGAATTCGTCAAATACTTTCTAAACTCATTACCGTTGTTGAAATTTAATCTCTACTCCAGTATTTTTAATCACCTTTGTTAAATCTTGCAGGATGATGAATTTATGCAAAGAAAAGAGAAGACTATCAAAACAGTTACCAATATCTTTGTAAGTATAACGGACTCTTTCGTGATCATTTTTATCAGTCGAGAAGCAAGTTCTTTTAGTAATGAAGTGGTGGTGATGAATTCTGTTTAATGCAGTCAATCTTAGGCTTTCTCATGAGATCCCAGTTACATGTAACATGTCAAGCTTCACTCTTAGAGAAGAGGCAAATCCCACTGCTTCATACTAGAAACCTCTTAGGTGTACAGAGTACCACTAGATAAACTACATCATCTGTTTGTGCAGAGACTATGTCGTTCCATGGCGTCAAATAAGTGACAAAGTAGCTCATAGCTTTTAACACTCCAGCAGACTTAAGTGCTTATCTGCAATTATCAGAAACTGGACTATATTTATCTTCTAATCAATCATAAATAATCTTTTAAGTTCCTGCATTTCAAAACTTATTTTCAGTTTCACTCCTTGTGAAAGCAATGAAAATAGGTCCAGTGAGGCGCCTTGTGCAAAGTCCCACAGTGCTCAATTGGGTTTCCGTACATGTGAGAGTGCCTGCTTTCTGAAACTGCTCTTTTTAGAGCTCAAAGAGAAGGACATGATAGAAGTGAGGCAGAGACAGGTATGCTAGATCAGATACTTTCCTGCTGGTTGAAGTCAGTAAAGTTTTCACTTGCCAAATGTTTTTAGGGTTATTCATTTGAAATTCACTGGACATGATCCAGGAATCCGTCATGCATGTGCCTACTTCTGTAGTGAAGAGAATAGTTTCATATTCAGGGTCTATGAGTGGAACAGATAGTGGGAAGTGAAGAAAACAAGGTGCTATCTTAAAACTTGGAAATCATCTTGCATAATTAGGCTACCCTGAGTGGCTACTGCTAATTAGTGCCCTGCCTTTGAGCATGCAGATTGCTATCCTCAATTTGGATTCATCTGCAGATTTCATGAAGGTATATTCTGTTTTTCTCCTCCTCCAGGTCACAGATCTCTGGGCTTGAGGTGCATCTTCATGGTAGATAAAGTTTTGTCATTTATTCATTCATCATTGCTCAGAGCATCATTAGACAAATGCTTCCTCATTAAATATTCTAGCTCTGTCAGGATTATAGCCTTTACTGCTGGCACCTAATCTTCTTAATGGAAGATTAGACTATAAGATCTCTGAGAGCATCTAGGCATGAATGCAATCTAGAGGAACATGCAGAATAGTTTTTAAGGGACAGAACCCTCACAGGCTCCTCTTTCCATCCTTAGGAACTGGAAAAAGGGTATAACATCAGTTTGCTCTTTTCCATGTCACCTTCAAATTGTTGTGCATTGGAATTGGAAGGGAGATCAGCTCTGCTAGAAGAGAGTCAGCAAGTGTGAAAGATGAGTCTGTTATCTGAGTTCCTTATTAGCATTCTAGTTTAAGGACTTGCCCTCCTCTCCTCAAGGGGACAATGCAAAGAGATTTATGGTCATGGTCAGACCTGAAGGTTAGAAAAGAGAATATTAAGCATCAGGAATGGTAGTTGAAATAAGGACTGCTACTGCTGAAAGGTGAATGTGTTGTAAATTGGGTTTTTTTTTTTTTTTTTTGCAATCATTTTGTTCACCTGCTCAGTTATCTCTGATACCAATGTTTATATTTACCAATGCTTATGCTGTGAGGGCTATGCTTTGTATAGCAGAAGTATAATACAGGATACTTCTATGAAAGCCACAATTGTTGTTTTTCTGTAGGTGTAAAAATACTTATTGCAGAAGAATCTGGATCCAAAAAAAGCTTTTTCATGTTCATGCAAAAGTGTAACATGATTTAATAGCTAAATACATACACAAGAAAAATCACATGAGAAATGGAGTAAAAATTAAAAAGGGTAGCTGACAAATTCAATGGGAACTTATAAAGGAATATGATTTATTTTCACTTGTTTGAAATCTTTACTTTGGGATAATTTATTTTTGAAAAAGAAATCTACTTTGGAGACATTATGTTGAAGGAATTTCTAGTTAAAAAGGATTTTTGCATGATCTGCCTTTCATTTTCTTCAAGCATCTTTGCATTTTCTTACACTAAATTTTATCTATGTCAATAAAAGCTTTGTTTTCAACTTTTGTTTTTATAATGTATTTGAGCATTTCATAAAACATTGCGAAATATATGAGTGTGAATGAGCAAAAAGGAGGGAATGTTCCTTCTGATGAGTGTTTGAGGACAATTAGCCCTTGTCACAGCAGATTAAAACTTCAAATTAATTAAAATTCTTCTCCTTTGTTAAAGTAGATTTCTAAGTTTTAATTAGTTGAAATTTTAATTGATCTTGAGGAGTTGGACTATCCAAGAAAGCATTAGCTGCAGTCCTAAAATTATTTTTTTAATTTTAACTTCTTTGTAGTTTTTTCCAGTATTATTGTTCACAGGGTCACATTAAATATTTGGCCTTTTAGTAAAGTCTTTAAAAATCTTTGTCAGAAAAAAATGCTGCCTTTCAGACTTCTTGCACTGTAATCTTTTGCCAAACAAACCACACAAATGATTCCAAAGTAAATTTTATCTTTGTTCCAATTGCTCATTTCAGGAAAGTTACAAAGGGATCTTTTCATCTTGTCTGTGCATGAGATGGAATAATTTTGATGATTTTTGATTTTATAGCATAAAGACTGTTATGCTGGCATTGTTGCTGTGTGTAGAAGAAGGTTATTTTAGTGTAAGACACATTTTTTAGTGCTGTCATGATTATTTTGATATTAGTGCTCTCTCAGGAGAGCAGCTCTGTCTTAAAAAAAAATAGTAGCGCTCGATATGAAACAAATAGTGAGTGCCTATGGATGCTTGTTTTGTTTGCTGGATTTTGTCTAGCTAGGATCACGTTTGGATATTGTGGGATAGGTTGATTTTAGTAGCAGATTTCACAAAATACATTTTTCCTGCTTTACATTAGAGTAAAATCTGCATTAATTCTATTGTGGCCAGATAAAGTTATGATCATTGAGTAGATAACATCTGGTCACCTAATAATTGAATAAAAATAACTAGCAAAGAAGGTAACATTTCTGGATACTGGAATTATCAGTTTAAGCACAGAACTTCCAATTTAAGTAGGCATCAGTTTTGCTGATTTCTTTTTGATTTCTTTCAAGTGTGAATGATGTGTTTGAGGAGATAGTTGAAAAAATCATGTTTTTTTTATAAAATACTTGTTTATCTTAAAGGAAACCTCCTGTAGCAAGTGCTTTTGAAATAAATTCAGTAAGTTTTTATTCATGCAATTCAGAAAGTCAAGGATGTTTATTGGATCGCTAAACAAATGGTGTTATAACTTGCTCTAAAAAAAGAAAAATATTCAATTATTTAAGAAAAATACTGGGCAAACTTTCAATTTATTCACTCTCTTACAGGAGATATACAAACCCCAGAGAAAATATAAACGTCAGGAGGGAGCTGAAGAACTGCTAGATGAGGAATCAAAAGTCCATGCTACACTTCTGGAATATGGCAGGTGAAAGGATTCAGTCTAAGTTGTGCATGAGTTTTGTATTGGGTATGGTTACAGGTATTCAAATGAGATCTGGGCTGACTTTATTTTTTATTGCTTGAGAACAGACTTTCAAATTTTGTTTATTTACCCTATAAATAAGTAAAATTGGGCAGTTCTTTTATATAAATGTATAATATCTGCTACAATGGAAGCCCACACTGTGACTCTGTCCTCTTAGCTGTACTGCAGTACAGGTGGGAAATGCTTATTGAACATACTAGTTATTTGCTCCATAAAAACAGCTTAAATCCATGATGCTTGTAGACATTTTGAAATTCTCAACCTTGATTGCCAGAAAAGTATTGTCTCCTTGCAAGCAGTCTTCCAGAAACTGGAGAGAAAATGAACTGAGGTTATTACTGGCACTTTTAATAGTTTTAATATAGTTAGATTGGGAGTTATAGTTTAGTGCTTTGTCTGTTGACCTTCTACAAACTTTCAGTTAGAGACAAAACTAATACAGGTTTGCTTATATCCATTACTAATGGAAGGCCCTTGTTTGTGAGCTCTCCGAACAGAAAGCAGTTTTTGTTATTATAATATGGCTTGGGACTCTTTTTCTAATAAAAGTACCCATGAAGTTAATGAACTTTCAGGAAGCAAAATGCTTAAGATGGTCAGTTTTTTTATGGTCTTGATGATTTTGTACAGCCCTAGTAGAAAAATACAAAAGAAGAATAGGTATTTAGTCTCTGAAAGGCACTGAGCATAATGGAATACCTGTTGGACTGATCTAAATGGATAAGAAGAAAGGACAGAACTTACAGATAACTAGCTGTATCTGTCTTCCAATATGAGAAGTTCGTTTTGGCCTACAAACTGCATGGAAAAGGGAGAAAATACAGGTACAGGATTTGAATGTGTTCTTGTGATACTTTCATAATGAATTCCCAAAGCATACAGTTCTTGGGCAGAAAACTGTTACTGAAACAAAGCAAAACCAAAGATCATCTGAGGAAATGGCAGCAGTAGGACAGGTAAATGTGTTTGTGTGTTGTAATATAGAGAGAAAATCTTGAAAAAGGCAACTGTATGTTTATCTTGAACCGACTAAGAAACAGCAAAAGAAAAGACAAAGGACCTAGCGGTGTGTGCAGACATCTGGGAGCGCAGTAGGGATTGCTGTCTACCCTTCAACACTTAGGGAAATCAGAGCACTGCTAAAAAGGCAGATGATAGACGTTTGTCTGGTTTAGGTACAAAGTTGAATGATTTTAAGATCCCAGTGGGACGGACCTCTCATTCTTTCAGTATTTGTAGGTGGTAGTCTTCAAATCATGTGAGTAGAGTTTCTTCAGTTATCATAAAAATGACTCCTTTCAGTGGAGGACACTAATAATAAAAAGTTATTTCAGTGCAGTGAATAATAGAGGGTCCTGTCATGTCTTGATGCCAAATGCAGCATTACACAGATACAGCTGGTGATATAGTGCTGTGTTCTGAATTGGTTTTGTTCCTGCGGCCTTCATTTTAAAGGCTCTCACAAAAATGAGTGTGACATGGTAAGCCAGGATCTACTCTTGAGAGCGCAGTGGTGCCGGTGAGCATCTTTCTGTGTACTTGTGTAGCCTGTTTCAGCTAAGGGCTTTCATTGCCCTGTCTTTGCATATTCTCAAATAGTTTCCAAATTAAGCATAAAGTCATAATAAAGTTCTTCCAAAATGTGAAACAACATGAGACCTGGGACGCACATGGATTCCCTGTTGGTATAACTGATGCTCAAGTTCCTTTATTGATATTTTGTTGCAGTTCATTTCTTGGACCCAGTTATCTGCATGAAAATTACCTTGCACTTCTACAGAACACAGTACAAGACGTACAAGAACGGCAGCGCTGCTATCCATGGCTTCTTTGCAAATACAACTTTATGTATATTCTTTGTGGGGGTGGTTCTCTCACCTTCCCTGTATTGATAACCTTTAAAATGCAGAGTGATCTTAATGTTTGGGAACTCTGGAGAGCTTGGAGTTTACACTAAAATAAAATAGGACTGAATTTACCCTGTAGTTACGAATGTTGAATAAGCTGGTGACACTTGATAGTGTTGTTGAGGACTGTATTTGACTTAGGGCCATAAAAGGTTCTGCTTCTGCAGTAGATAAGGAATTAGCCCTAAATGTGAATTAGTCAACTGAGAACATCTTTCGTGGCTATGTATGTGCTGGGTTTTGTGCTTCCTGATAATGAGTGCAACTGCTTGCTTAGTTCTTAAAAATGTGTTCTGCCTGTCTCAGGTATATATGTGTCATAGCTCAGGATCATTTTCCAAATGGCAAGAGAGGATGGGTTTTTCCATGCCTTAGCTTTACATGAAAATGCTTTAGGAGCAGTCTACATTTGGAAAACCTAATGAATGGAGTAGATGGAGCTGCCATTATACTGTAAATACACTGCAGTACCTGCTTGTTAAGTTCAGTCGAAGCATTTCATAACTAATGTGAACCTGGCCTTGGTAGCTGCTTGTGTCAAATTATTCACTTTTTAGTGGGCTTCTTTTGTTGAAAACTGATAGAAAGATTTCTTGTGAAATCAAAGATTTTGGAAACAGCAATTTTTTTTTTTTGTCCTTTTAGGAAATATGGTTTTAGCAGACAAGCAGGAAAAGCGGAACAGGTAAAATACTGTTTATATTGCTTTTCTCTTTTTTTAATTCTTCCTGAAATTCAAGTATTTTATTGTTATTCTTGGAATGATGGTTATTGTGATATCTTAGGGAAGTGCAACAGAAGAGCTGTAACTTATTCTTAAAAAAGGTTAACAGAGACTAAAAATCTGCATGTAGTGAGAGATACTTTACTGATTTTCAAGTGATTTCCTTCATCTGCCAAAGATTACTCAAAGATTAATTTATGCAAACATATATTGCTTAAATCTGTTTTGTTTTATGTGGGATAGGAGATAGATAGCAGATCCTGTCTGTTTAATGACTGTATTTAAAGATGCATTTACTAGATTTTTTTTATTTTTAAGGAATCATTCTGCTAAGTAAGACATTTTATAGGCATTTGTTACATATCAAGTCACTTAATGTGATAGAGAAGCATGACAATGCCATAAATAAATCAGTGTCTCTTGAAAAGTAGTGTTCTTATCTGTACTTTTGATGTCTATAGAGTCATAAATGATGCCTGTAAGAGTTTTTACAATTTTATTATTTCGGTGCTGATATTACCTCAATTACATGTTATTACAGATAGTGTTAATGAAGAAATGCGCAAAGTGTGATATGCTGTTAATAGTAAAGTGACTGTGCTGAGGTTCCCCTCTTTCTTTATCTAAATATTCCACACACACATTTGACAGGTAGATTTGGAAACGTATCTATTTATATAATTTATACCCACCTCTTTTTCCCTGAAAGTCGCTGTCAGGCTGTAGTTGTGCTTTTTATGGTTTATTTTGTTTCCTCATAAATATTACAGACTTTGGAATATTGTATATTAGACTGTCACTTACAGTGTGAATTGAGTTACCAGTCGGGTAGAAGCAGAAGATTAAATAGTCTGGTCAGTGGTACGATGGTGTGACCTAGAAATCGAGTCTGTCTCTTGTCGGTACTCATTATTTTAGTGGTATGTGTACTTCCGTCTGAACTAAGCAAACATTTTGAATGTCATAAGCTTGTTACAGCACTTAATTCATTTTTCATATCTTAATTTCTGTCCAAAATGCAGCTTTTCCTTGTATATTAGATGCTTAAGCCCAAACTTTTGGACTTAACAGATAATTGATTTGAGAGGCTGTAGGTCTCAGAAGGCTGTGGAATAAAGGATCCTTGGCCCAGGTGTGCCTCTGGCTTACTACACACACAATTTTGGTCAACTGGGATTCTTCAGAAGTCAGTGACAGTTGTGCCTCAGTTGGCATGAACTGGACCGTAGGATGTTCCCATGTTGCCTGTCAAAACAGAACAGTTGCATTTGGGTTGTCTCCTTGTTGTCTGTCTTGAGTCAGATTACTGCAGTTAGATGTAATATTTTCTTAATTTCTTTTAAACAGGCTGAAGATAAAAAACTTGTGCTACCTCCAGGGCTTGCAGCAGCAGGAAAAGCTGAGGCTGGTGATGAAGCTGATCTCCAGGCTGCTGAAGAGGTTTGCTGTGTGCACAGCGGGCACGCGTGTTCCTAGCTGGGGGAAGGAGCAGTAGGCACTGCACACCCATCGGCTGCAGGGAGGAAAGTCTTGGTGCTTAGCTGACAGGAGAGTTCCTTCCCCCAGGAATTTGAAGTGGAAGCACAAAATTAAATCTTTTTTGATATTTAATATCAAATACTCAACTTAAAAGTGCTCTGATTCCAAAATTCAAGAGGTCGGTGTACATATTTTGGGTTGGCGGTATAGTTGACTGCTCTGAATTAGCTTTTACTGTTACAAGGAATTTTCATTTATTTGATCATGTTAGCCACTACTCTTGCAACTTTCATATAATTGCTGTTTGACTGCATGCATTGAAATACACGTTAGATGATATTAATTATATAAGTATGTCACTTTCAATGCACATAACCTTATTTAGCATATTTCTGTTTAATACCTTCATCTTTTGCCCTAGCTTCGCATTAAAACTCTGATGACTGGAATGGCAGCGATGGCAACAGAAGAGGTAAGCAATATTTAAAACTAACACAGCTTTCTTTTAATTATGGATGGGCATGTTTTAGTAATCACAGTTCAGATTTGTCATCAGGGAGTCTCCTACTTTTTCAGGCCATACAGTACCTTAAGATGTAGGTATAGGGATACCCGCACAAAAATTATTGCTGTCTTTTTCAGTCAGAGTTTTCATTCTTGTATTATAATGTTACATGAGAGCAGTTCAGTCTATTTATACCACTTACTTTATAGTTGTCATTTACTCTTAAGGCAATTGTTACTACAATTGAGTTAATTGAGAGTCCAAATATCTTTAAAAAAAATTGCATGTAAGTTTTCATAAAGGGAATGCAAGAAAAAATGTTTGAATTAGAAGGACAGCACTTTTTACAGTGTGCTGGTTTAATTGTCATCTACATAATCATAGTTTGACTCAAAATGTGGTCTGAAAGAGTTTTATCATGGTAACTGTAAAAGTATACAAAATACAATTAAAATAATTGAAAATCTGAGTTCAAATAACTATTTTTTTTGCTCAAAATGAAGGGATTTCCCTCAGTGAAGTGGAGATAGAATGTTCGTTGGGCTTTTCTACGATAATAGTTAAGTTTTCTATGTCTCTGCTAAGAATTAGAGCTTGGAGAGATTGCCATGTAGAAAAACACAAGCAGTTCCAAAACTCAAGCAATTTTTGATTCAATTGCAGGGCAAGTTAACAGCAAGCACAGTAGGCCAGATCGTTGGACTTCAGTCAGATGAGATCAAGCAAATAGTGTCAGAATATGCTGAAAAGGTAAGTGGTTATAACGTAACCAGGTTATGCTTTAGCAGGTCATGTTTGGTAGCTTACTCATTTAGGTTTCAAGCTTCCAAATTAACTGGTGTGATTAAACAGCAGTGTTTAAAAACAGCAGTATTTTGTAGTGGAAGACAGCAAAATTCAGGAAAGTGTTTAACTGAGGCTTGGACGTGCACAAGCTTTTATGGTGAGAGCACATTGTGTCCCTGAATTAATAAGGTTTAAACACCTGCTTAAATGCTTTTGTGAATAAGAAGCTGAGCAGACATTTTATTGAAAAATAAGTGTTTATTTTTAAGCAGAAAAATGCAGCTTGCCTGCTCAGTGGAAAAAAAAGTGTAAGTTTTCCGGCACTGGATTCTTATTTGCAGTTGGCCTCGATTGCCAGCCATGTGCTGGATCTCTGGTTTTGAAGCTAGCATCATCAAAAAACAAACCTTTGTTGCTTTTACAAGTCAAGGCAATTAACTTTGTTTATTAGCTCCATTTATTATGTTCAACTGTGATTGCTTTTACAGTAATGTGAAAAGAAAATCTGGCTCTTCAAGCAATTAATACATATAATACATCACTGCCAGTTGTGAGTTATAGGTCGCTCTTATTTGTCCAATAGTTTTCTCATAATTCTTCCTTTTTGTTGACACTTATGAGGTATGGTGCTTTCCCATTTGGGAGATAAACCTTATAACTCAACAGAGTCTATAGCAAATTCTTGGCCTTTCTTTATTATAGAGGATTGGAAGAACAGAAGCCCAAGGGTCATATTTCAATGTTACATTTCTTCTGTTCTGAGAGAAGGCAGCAGGACCTTGACTATTAGAGTAGAACAGTGATTAATTCTCTGGAAAGTAAGAACTGATTCAAGTCAAACTAAAAATATATCATTTTTAAAATCAAATCTACTGGTTGTGAGAAAAAAAAATTAAAATCTGTGTTCACATGTGTGTACAAGGAAAAGAAAATCAGGGAAGTTATTAAACAGCTTATAGAAGCATTAACAGTATTTGCATGCTGTTCTTACAGCTTTAACCCCTTGTTAAATTCGTGTTCTGATGAAAGGCAATGCTTATTTGTTTGTCAGAGCCTTAATCAGGTTCTGATCCATAGACCTTTGCCCATGAAAATAGCTGGCAAATGAAAAACTCATGTAAGTCTTAGCAGCTATTGGTGATAAAAGCATTGGGGTACTGGATAGAACATGGCTGTTTATGTAATTTGTTGCTGTAAGTTGCAGATGAGAAAATAAAAATGAAGAATATGTATGGAAAACCTGTGTGAATCTTCATGCAAGAATAATTCTTACTCAAGAGTAATTCAGCATTTCTTTCAGTGCAAATATTAGCAAGTTTTAATGCATATATTAATCCCCATATTGCTTTTCCCAAGCCAATTGCTACGTCTCTTTTTCCTCATTTTAAACTTAGGCAGTTACTACTTAAAAGCAAGGAATGACAAAGGGGCCAATTTTGAGTAAACACAGTGGAAGATTAAAGACTTTTCGAAGTGGACAAACATGTTTCAGGTTCATCTGTAGTAAAGTGGGTTTGAAGATCAAGGATTTACTGTATTTATAGCATGGCTGACGTCCTTAAGACTTAAAATTTTTGAGAATAAGCCTGTAGATGGCCATTTCCAAAGCTGTTGAATTGGCTTTGTGTTTCCTGATGCAAAAAAAGGGTGTGTATCATTACAGAGAGACAAAGCTGTGAGAACTGGGGATGGGGAGAGATTTAAGTGAGAGTGGATGCTAAAGTAAGTCAATATAGGCTGTATGAACTTGTTTCCTTTGGGGATTTGTGGGGATGAATCACAGGGTCTCAAGTACTTTCCTGTGTTATTACTGGTCGTTTGTACAAAACATCCATGAAAGCTGATTCCACGAAAGAGCTCATTCAGTGTGAATTCTCCTGGGGTGCACAGGAAGCAGAATGAGAAGAGTGTTCCCTTTTTGTGCTGGCTTGTGTGAGAAGTTTCCTATTTGACATAAAGCTTTTGGGGAACCTTTTATGCTTAATGGAACATAAATATGTTCCCTAAAGGTTCTGCTTCCCCCTTCTACTAATGACGTTGCAGTCAATATATTCGTGGCAGTTTCTGGCAGTGAGTTGAGGTAGATTAAGTTGGGATTTAATGAAATGCTTTGCTAGTTAAATGTTACATCCAACTTGCTGTCTTCATTATATATTTTAAACTCTTGGCAGTGCATCCTCAATTGAGTCATTTTCAAAGACTGGTGCCTGTAGGAAATAAATAAATAACATGAGGAGAGGTACAAGTAATTACCACCCTGAGTATGTCACTCAACATAAAGATGGATGCAAGCCAGTATAGCAGGATCTAAACACCCTATTGCTCAATATTCTTAGTAATTCTGAATCTAAATACCAGGATATGAAGCATCCCTGATCCAACAAACTTAGTAAATACCACCTACACTGCAAAGCTGTCTTGCTGCTTAAGGTGGATTTTTTTTTAGCACTTTATATTTCTTCCAATTAGACACCCTACCAGGTTTAGTTGTAAGGCAGATGTTTGTCCTTTGGGTTTATTGTATCTTTCACCCACTCTAGGGCCCCTCACTTTACTATTAACTTACTGAAAATAAGTGGTGTGAGGGCCATATCTGGTACCTCTGGGTATAATTGGTCAGCTGCTTCCTGAACTTGGTTCCAGTCTATATGAAGAAAAGTCTTTCTAGCAAGTCACTCTTTGTACTGGATGGTGGGACACAGTTTTGGATGAGCAGCATCACAGGTCTGTCCCAGTCTGGCATTTTTTGATTTTCTGCAGAAGCAGAAAGTAATGGCATGAGGTTCTACAAGCTGTTGTTGTTTATTTTAGCAATCTGAGCTTTCTGCAGAGGAGCGACCAGAAAGACTTGGAGCTGCCCAACAGCACAGAAGGAAAGTGGCATCTCTGAATAAGCAGATTTTGCAGAAAACCAAAATCCTGGAAGAAGTAAGTATTGTTTGTGTAACAAAGAAAACATTGATAAATGTGGCTGACCATAAATTTTTTGCTATCCAGAAGAGACTTGCAAAGTATCTTTTACAACAGCAATTTGTCACGCTGAACATTCATTTCAGCATGTCTGAATGTCCTGCTTGCACATTTATTACTAAGACAATGTGGCTGCTCTTGCATTCAAGAATTGGAAAGCCCTGTGAATGGAGGACTAGCTGATCAAAAGATGCTTTTTTAGTTATTTGTTGCATACTTCTTTTAGAGATTTTTTTCCCTTTTTTTTCCTCCATTTGACTTGTTAGGTATACTGAAAAAAAGCCCTTTCAAACAACAAGCTAGGAGTTTATTCTGAAATATATTACAAATATATTATTGAATATATTAATATATACTGATATATTGAAATATATTACTTTTTAGCCCTTGGGTGTTCTTCTGCATGTTTGAATAAAAGCCAGCTGCAGATTTGGTTAGTGAGATCCTTTTTAATTCAACCTTGTTCACTAAGTCTTTTGACATGACTTGGAAGAAAAAAAAGAAAAAAAGGGCAGGAGGAGGAAGGTGCTCTTGAACTGGACTAGTGTCATGTTCAAATCTGTAAAAGCAAGTTCTCATATTTTAACTGACTTACACTATTGCCATTTTAATGCCAAAAAGGCCAAGTGGAAAACTTGTCAGTAATGAAATGCTGCTTTTAATTAGACATATTTCCGTGAGCAGTGTCCTGCTATTTGTGGCCTGCAGAATCTGATACAAACCGACTGTCAGCAATTGGAAGAGCTTGTCAGAAAACAAATAATACTGGACAAGAATTGTGGCTGATGGCTTCTACGGCTGATACTCTGTCAAGCACAACAGTGCCCCAGCAGCCTTCATCTTTCCTTTTCTTTCCTTTTGCGCTCGTTGTCAGCAAGACAGACCTTACATCTTAACTCGTTGTACCCATTAAACATCAACTGTGCAGGGGCATCAAAGATAGACTTGTGTGGCGTGTCTCAGGAGACAGCGATGTGTCCAGTCTTGCAAGCAACAGAGGTAAAAGGAGGACAGCTTCGAAATATTTACCTGCCATAGTCTAACTATGGGAGCACTAGCTTTTAATTCCCGCTGCCTAGCCACTTGCTGGATCTGCTACTTGTGGTCTGAGCAATAATTTTATTTTTCTTGTAAATTTTGAGAGGATAGATATCCCTTAAATTGCCTCTAGGTATGCTGGGAACCATTTTTGAAGTCTCTAAGCTAGTATTCAAGTAATACTAGCTTTTAAATAAAGCTATAGAAACAAAACTTCAGAACAACAAAAAATGGAAAGTGTTTGTCTTTTTTTTTTTTAATTAAGTCAAAATATTTAATGATGGACTTGTGCAGGTGGTTCTGAACTCATTCTTCACAAGCTATTTGGAAAAAAAAATAGACTTTTAAATAGTAGTCTGCAACAAGTGCTTTTCAGTGGGTAAATGTTAAATGTATCCATCTCCTGTGGAACATATCAAACTATATTGATTTTTCTTTCAAAGTTGGTGCAGCTCTACCTCTTCATTATCCCCTGGCATGCCTGATCAGATCAAAAAATTGCATTTTTTTTTTTCCTAGTCAGTAACACTGCAGTTAATATTTGTACTGTGTTTTGGATCTCAGAATTGTCTGTCATAGTTCCTTCTTTGTTCTAAAGTAGAAAATATTAAAAAAGATGCACTCAGTTGGTTTTGGATAAATGGTCCTATGTGTAGGTCGAATTACATCATACACCTTAATGCTGTTGAAGTAGCCAGTCCTCAGACAGGAAAAGAAAATAAAATATATAGGAAAAGGACCATATATAAGAACTTATTTACAGTATACCAAGCATAATTTTGTTGTGCTGCTTTTTCCTTGATTAGTATGAATTTTCCAAGTATGTCTGCGTCAACCATAACTTTGGTTCCCTTTCAGAGTGATGGCTATTGTTAACAAAATATTGACAGTATCTAGCATTTAAATACAGATCGGAGTGTCAAGATTTTGAAATCATAACATGGACCTAAAAAATGGTTAAACTATTCCGAAGTTTCTCTGTGGATTTCATTTTCTGGAGTGGGTTCAGAAAAAGGCATCTCAGCTGAATGCCAAGTGTACGTTACAGTGCACTTGCGTGACAGTCTCTTCCTTTAAACCACAAGGGCTAAAATGACTTTAGTTAAAAGGGCTGAAGGTCAAAGCAAACGCGACGCGGCTGTAGCTGCTGCAGCAGTTTCGCATGCTCTGTGTTGCAGGTGCATGCGGGTTCTCTCTGCATCTGCTCCGAGCCAGCTGGCTGCGCAGCTGTTAGAGGTGAGAAGCTTTGGGGTAATAGCTCACTTTATCAGTACTCCACTGTGTTTAGCCTTGTTCTAGTGCAGTTGTACGACTGCCGAAGGGAAACCGCGTTGTCTTTAGCTGGTTCCCATCTGTCTGAAGTTATTCTGCAAACAGTGCATGCATCCTTGAATGGTCAGTTTGAACACATTCATACTAGGACATTACACCCCACTGCTTTTTCTGCAGGCTTGTGCTGAGAGCCCCTTTGTGCCCTTGGAGGCAATTGGTTCAAGCTTAGTTTAAGGGAAGAGCTCCTTGGAACGCTTGTGTCGTAAAGCTAGCATTAGGGAACTGCAACAGCCTTCTTAGGCTAAAAAACAAGCATGCAGAACCCACTGCCTCTCCCACTGCAGTAGCAACCTATTCTCTAGACATGCTGTTTCCTTGCCCTTTTTTGCCTACCTGAGTAGTAAGGCTCAGTGGCTAAACCAGTTCAGCAGTTGCAGGGAGCCTGTGCAGCTGCACCATGTGGTTGTGCTGGAAGATCTCCTGATGCCTGTTTGCAGTCTCAATAAATGAGATGTTCAGAACATTTTCCTGGGACAGGTGGTTCTTCTGTTGTCCAAAACTGCAATATAATATTCCTGTTGAATTGGTAATGGAGAATACTCCTCCAAATTGATATGTGTTGAGTGAAATACTCTTTCATTTCTGATCCAAGTCATTTCCTTTAGTTATTACCCAGTTTTTTTCAGTACTTGAATTAATATTTTTGACTGCTTTCTGCATGCTGTTGGAAGAGGAAAACAGTTAAAGGAGGGGAGAAAATTTGGTTGTAAACCACAATAAATTGGTAGAGTCTGTGCTTCATTCCTAGTCTACTTTTAACTGCCAAAGATGAATTTAAGTATTGCTCAAATCTGTTATGATACTGTCTGCCATTTTGACGGTTGAAGACTCTTTAATTCTGCTTTGCCTTTTTTTTGCAGTGCATAAGTCTCAGGGTTATGCCTCTGTATGGAAGAATAATACTGACAGATGTAAACCAAGCAAATCCTTCTCTTATGATCCTAGTAAAGCTTTTGCCTGGCTGAGATTGTTTTGCCACTTGCCAAAACCAGATTTTGGATTAATGAGGTAGAAGTTGAAATCAGTTAAAAGTGGCAGTCAAGACCTTTAAAAAATGCTTATGGAGTTCCAGCAGTGCAGTCGGTTTTGGCAAGAAACTCAGGTAGCTCTTGAATCTTTGTCAATCCCCATGAGATGTGGACTGCAGGCTTAAATCATGACACTCCTCATCTCCCCAGAACTAGCTAGAATTCAATCTCTGCATCATGGGTGGAAAAAAAATATATGTGTAATGAAAGAGCTTTACTGTTAAGAATTTGGCTCTGCAAATGGGTGAATGGTGTGTTGAGCCATAGCTCCGTATTACAAAGAGCAAACTAAGCCAACATTTAAAAAAAAAAAAAAGTCAAACTTGCATTTCTGTGCAGTGTCCTATTCCTCTTTTCTAATCCAAGCCCCATTTTTGTTACTATTTATAATCTTAAATTATAAGACCTCTTCCAAAATTTACCTTCTGTAAATTATTTGGCGAGTGAAATAGTGAGTGGTGTTTTGCTGACTGGTGCCTTTTAGGTTTTTTCCATAGTTTCACAAAGGAGAATCTTCCTTGAGCTTGCTTTATTGGTATGGTACAGTTTTATGGTTTGGTGCTTGGCCGCTTTTATGCAAGCTTTGAATCATCCTGACATTTTTGGAGATGTGTAGAATGGAACTGTCTTATTAGCCTGGTATGAAATGAGGCTAACCTAACCTAGCTAAGTAACTTTCAACAGTTTAGAAGAAAATCTGTCCAGTTACCTACCATTGGCATCTGTTTTGTGAAAGCCACTTTTTATTTTAGGACCTAATGCATCTGTAAGTCAGATGGAAAATATGTGCTATTAATTAAATAGATTTCTTGGAATGAATTGCACTCAAAGTACCTGATAGGAAAGGACGATGGCATTGATGATGTGCCTGTTGTTTCAACAGGCAACTGTTGTGAACTCCAAAGCTCAAATATTGTTGTTCTCCATTGTAGGTGTAATTGGAGTAAATATAGAATCAAAACTCTCTCCTTTCTCTTTGATAACAGCTGCAAGCTAAATGTGCAGATCTGCAGGCAAAATGTACTGAAGCAAAGAAGGCATTAACTGAGGTAACTTCTTTTCTATGTAAAAATTAAAAATCTTGTTCTTGGGGGGGACGTTGTTTATGTAAAAGGGTGAAAAGAGAATTTCTGGGTTGATCATAGATATTACTGCTGGAAAGGGGAAATGTCCTTTTGCTTTATTAATTTGTTAACAAAATGGTTGAAGAAATGTGGGTTTTCTTAGTTTGAAGCTAGTATCATCTGAGTTCTCTGTGCAGTCATATCAATGAGTCAATATATTTGTGATGAGTATTTTTAGGCTGTGACATGGGGATGTGTGTCATAGTCAATTTGAGAAATAATTGGATATAAAGATCAAGCTTTACTTACTCAAATTCAACACTTGAAGTTCAACACTTGAAGTTTTTTTTTTTTTTTCCTTTTGATATATCAGTATTTATATATATTCTGTGAAGGGGAGATTTTTTTTCTGCCTTTAGCTGCATGGTCTCAAATATGATCTTGCCCTTCAGGGACCAAATGGAGAAACAGAAGAGAGCAGTCTTTGGGTCATCTTGATCACTCTAAACAGATAATGGTGTTTTGGAGCAGGAGAAAATGAGCAGTGTTCTCTTTTGACTCAGCTTGATAAGAACTTCTGACACAACCATGTCAAATAGTTTGTCTGAATCACTTGGTATAAAGTTGGCAAAGTTAACTCAGGATGGTAATTAGAAGCTTGCAGAGTTCATAACAATGCAAAAACTAATATTTCCTTTAGGCTTTTTTTTTAAGGTCATAATGGTGGTGAAAGAGAGCCAAAGGTTGTAGGGTCAGGGAAAGCTTGTATTTGTGGTGCCACTTACCTCATGGATTCTGCAGTGTGGGAAAACTGAGCACCAGGAACTATTCCATGTGTACAAATGTATTTCAATATAGTATTAATTACAAACCCTAGGTTAAGAGCTCCAGTGAAAAGCTGGACAAGGAATTGGCGGCCTTAGAAAAAATAGAATCCCAAGCAGATTCCAGGTAAGGTGTTATATTTTCCTTTTTTTTTTTTAAACTTCCTTTGTGATCTTTAAAGTTCTGAAAAATAAAATCAATCATTTCATTTTGTTTTTTTTTGTCAAACAAATAACTAAGCATATGGTTCCTCCTGCTCTCTTTAACAAAGACAGGGCATGATTACCATGTTGAGTATGAATGAATATTAAATGTCAATCTGTACTTGAAGATAGTTGCAGAGCTTAAATATGTAACACAAGCAGAAGAGCCCAAGGCCATTTGACAAATCCATGAGGCCTTCCTATCTCTATTTTCTTCCTAACTGGAGCCTTCATCTTGCATACATGAAATAGTAGGACCTCTTAAAACTTAGCAATAATGAGAGCAGGATGGGGCAAAATTATCTAAGCATTAGGTGTAATACTGCACTGTTGTTCTGACTGATCAGTGGTAGTACATGGACTTCTGTTTTACTGAAAAATTAACTTAGAAGTAACCTTGTTCTGATAGCTTTTTGTTCTCAGTCTCTTTAAACTGGAACCTAAAAAACTAATGCTATTTTCTGGGTCTTCCAATTTAGTGTATTACAGAACCTGCGAGCACTTGTAGCTATGAATGAAAGCCTCAAAAGCCAGGAGCAGGAGTTCAAAGCACATTGTAGGGTAAGTTTTACTTTATTTAGCAAGAATTGATGTAAAACTTCATCAACAAGCATGCGAGTGTTATGTATGCTACATATGCTGTCTCCCCCACCCCAAGCCCCTTGATGTTTATTGGTATTTCCAGGTTCAGCCTGAATATTGCCACTAACTTGATTAAGGAAAGGGAGATATAAAGAAGGGTATCTAAATTAGGGTTCTAAATTAGCATAGAAGCATCAAGGTTCAGTAGTGCCTGGGATTCTTTAAAAAAAGACAGGTTCTAGACAGAACATTAGATCAGCCCTGTGCTGATCACAGCTGGAACTCTCTTTGTTTCCTTTACCATTCTACAGAAAGTGAACTAGGGTAGGGTGGGAAGGGAGCAAAGAATGAAAGGCTGGGGCCAATATTGGACGCCTTCCTGCACTATTCACAACCTGAGTCAAATTGTGTCTTTTGGGGTGATGTGGCCAACAGTGGCAAAGATGACGCCTTCTTGAAGCTCTTCGGCTTTGGAGCAACCCAGCAGAACAGACAAGACTCAGATGCAGCTATTTCAGAGAATGTTGCATTGTTAGTGTTTAATTACTGTGTTTTGTTGCCCTGTTTAGTGTGTTGGTGGTCTGCCTAGAAAGAGTTGTTTGTATTTTCTTCTGCTTAAACAATAGTGGAAGGATATAATACAATGAGAAGAAATAAAAAGAAATACAGCTCCAAGGCAGAGATTGAACATAGAACACCTCCTTTTCCCATATGTGCCTTCTCTTGGAAAGCTGTAAAGATTATAATGGAAACTGTCTTGCAACTAACCTTCCATTCGTTTGTTACTATGAATGCCATGTTTTATGCTCCACTGTCATATTACTGATACTCTAATAATACGTTTTTTTCTCAGTCCAATTTTTTTATGTCCTTCATTACTTGTTTTAGCTGCAAATAAGAAATAAAGCTGCTGTTGTGTTTGATGGAACATGATGCTCAGTTTTATGTAATGAGTAATAAAGGCTGCCTTAACCCTAGGCCGAAAATGTATTATTAATGTGTGTGGCCAATTCCAGAAATTTGTTACATATATGTGGAATCAAGCTTCCTGTCATCCGCAATTTAAAAGATAGGTCTTAATTAAAAGCAACAAAACCTTTTTTTTCTTATTATTTTAAAGGAAGAAATGGAGCGTCTTCAACAAAATATAGAGAGTTTGAAAGCAGAGGCAGTGGAAAATGGGGAAGAGGTAGGTAAATAGCACATATCTAAGAACTTAGCTTTAGTTTATGTTTTAAAATCCTCTTTTAGGTCCTTCTGACTTTGGCGCATTCTGGTAAACATAAAAATCCTTTGTCTTTGCGGACAGTGATCAGATATCAAAGAAGAATCACGGCATGTTAGAAGGCATACATCCCTCTGATAGCAAAACCAATTCCTCCTCAAAAATGTGTTTGCTCTTTGGTGGTGGGTTGGTGTTTCTTTAGGTTTTGTTTTAGAAAAAGTGGTTTTGTTTGCTAGATGAAAGCACAAGTTTTCAACGGTTCAGTGTACTGCATGCAGTAAGCAGCTGTTAAAACTTTGGATTTTACACAAGCACAGCAGACTGATGGAAATGAATGAAGAGTACAGTAAAGGAAAAGGCTGAATCACTTGTATTTTTGATGATAAACACTGATATATTTGTGCCTGAAGTCAGGCAGATTATAGGTTCCATAATGCTGTTGTCCTCCCAAACCCAGCAGGAGAAAACTTAAAATGTAAGCCTAGGCCTTAAGCTTTTACAGAAGCAAATTTGATCACAACATCCACAAGCAAATCTAGACCGTCTGTCAGAGCGTTCCATTTCTGTCCTGGACCGTGTTTATCGTTAAGCCTTCCACGGAATCAAAGTAGAATCATTCGTAAAATAAACACAGAGAATAATATTCCTTTTACATATCTGTTATTCTTCATTTTTATAAGAGTGACTGTTGCTAAGCAGTGGAAGAGTTATTGGCAAGCCCTGAAAACTAAATATCAAAGACTTAAACTAGCAAAATTACAGTTGGTTGATGTGAAAGATATTAATGATTTCATTCATGCAAATCAAGATTCATTGTTTAAAAAAGGAAAAAACAGCAAATGGTGGTGTTATCTAGTAAGTGTCTTTGAAAGATGAACAAAAAAAATGCAGTTCATACACTTTTCCAATTGCAGATCTGATTTCCCACTGTAATTCCAGAATATCTTTTGGGTTCTCAAATTCTAGGAGCCTCATAAGCTTATAGATGAGCAGTACAAAACTGAGAAAGAAAAGCTTCAAAAGATCCGGCTTCTACTGGTGAGTAACTCCTTTATAAATTTATTAGGACAAAATTATTGATCTCTTCCTCATCTTTTGGCTTTTAATAATACTTCTTTTACTTTTTGTTTTTGTAATATTTTAAGAAGTTTTTATGCCACAGACCAGCTGTAAATAAAATTGAGCCTCAGCCAATACTCTTTTTAAAACTAACTATGTAGTAATGAAATCTTGCTGGGTGGGCTTCATCCATTTTATGAAGAGAACTAGCAGAGACTTTTTCTGTGCTGCTTTTCTATTCAGGCCCGAAGAAACAGAGAAATAGCCATTTTGCAACGCAAGATTGATGAAGTACCCAGCCGAGCTGAGCTAACGCAGTATCAGAAAAGATTTATTGAACTTTACAGTCAGGGTATGTATATCAAACAAACATTTTACTGAAGGCTAAAGCTGTGGAAGGAGGGCAATTGCTTTATAAGCCAACGGTGTGCAACAGCAGCGCTTGCTAATCCTGTGGTAGTTTAAAGGTCATTTGACACTCACATAATACACCCAATTTTCAAGGTTTTATAAACTGGTTGTAATAATGCCTTTGAGGATGAGTCTCGATGCAAAAGCTGTCTGAAGTGAGTTTTTGTCTGCAGAAGATTCAGTCATTTGGATCAATGACCAGTGTGTTTAGACTGAAGTCTTTAATCTACCATTTGCAAATGAGGTAGCTGTAGGTTTGAGTTGTGTTTATCTGCTCTTAACATTAGATTGGTCTCATTGTATTGAGATACCTGCTATACACTATGTCAAGAACCACAAAAAAAAAGTGTTTTTCGAAGGGATTGTTTTCCATTATTTTTGCTTCATAAATGTACCCCTGCCTTCAGAAAGGTCACTGAGAACCCAGAGAATTACAGGTTGGTCAGCTCTGCTCAGGACTAGTGAGATCATCTCTGAAGTTCTGTGCCCTGTTTTGGTTTCCCCAGTGCAAGGGAGGTACAGACACACTGCAGCAATCCAGTTAAGGGCTGCAAAGGTAACTAAGGGTTTAGAGCATCTGTCATGTGAGGAGAGGCTGAGAGAGCTAGGACTGTTCAGCCTGGAGGAGAAAAGCTCAGCACACTCTAGTGTTCACCAATACCTGGTGGGATGATATAAAAAAGATGGAGCCAGTTCAGTGGTGCCCAGTGACAGGACAAGAGGCAGTGGGCAGAAGTTAAAATACAAGAAATTCCTTTTATTTATTTATTTATTTTACTCTGAAGATGGAAAGGATTGTCCAGGCAGGCTGTGGAGTCTCCATCCTTGGTGATTTTCAAAACCTGACTGGCACAATCCTGAGCTACTTGTTCTTGTGTTCTGCATGGAGGGGTTGGGATAGACCCCCTGCAGAGGTGCCTTCCACCCTCACTGATTCTGTGAAAATAAGTCAATTCTGAAAACAATTTAGGGTGCTATTTCAAAATACGCCACAGATGTATTTCTGACCCTTCCCTGACCCTCTGTATGTTTACCTAAAAACAACCTGCAGGTTGTTGGCTCACTACTGGTGGAGGACATGGATAGTTTTTCTGTGAGCTAATAAATGTAGTCAACTTGTAGAAGATCCATAACTAGCAGAGCTTCAGTCCTACAAAAACTGAACCAATCAAGAAAGCACATGTTATGGAGAAAACCCTCTGGAGATTGTGTGCATAAGCTCATGCAGCTTGGCAAGAAGCAACCAGATCTCAGCATTTGGGAGATCTTCTTGGAACATGCTAGACATTGTTCTAGATTCCTCTGTGCTTTCACACTCCTTGTGTGCTTCTGTAGGCTACAGTATATCCAGAATATGTTACAGATGCACTGTGGTGATAAGAAAACTCTTTAGTACATTATCTGATGTCTTTCTCAGTTTCAATCATTAAAATGTTTATCTTTGAGCTGTAAGTCATGGGTTTGATTTCTTTTTGAGCAGAGAATTCTACAAATCTACACAGATTTGTATGGCAGCTTGTTAGCCTTTAGAATCTAATGTAATGGTGATTTTCTTCTGGCTTATTTGAGTTGCTCATGCCCTTGGAATTCTCGTCATTGAGTCATTTGATCTTTTTTGACACATAGCATTACTGGGCTCAGGATTCCAGGCAGTGCTTAATAAACTAACCATAATGATTTTTGCCAGCTGTCCTTCTCTGTTCACTTCTCCCTCAAGTATCCTAAGTATCTTAGTTTTCCTTAGCCTTGAAGACCTAAAGAGCAGAGGAACTGTTAGCAGCCTTGGAACATCAGTCATCATCTTAGATGCCCAAAGGGGCTGCATGTGGGAGTCTCACCTTCCCCACCAAGTTGTGACCACGTGCTGTAGTCACCTAAAGCCTTTTCTAGAACAGATACTGTTTAATTACATCAGTATAAGCACATTGGAAGAAGAAGAAAAAAAAAGAGGCTTTAACACTCAAAACATCCTTGGGTATCTAGCTCATCTGTAGCTCAAAGGCTGTGGTATAAAACATGCAGCTCCTTCCCCATCTTCTCCCCCTGCCCTCCCCATGCCCATAGTGTTGCATTATCTAGTTCCTGTCTGGTTTTGCTTAATCGCTTTTCCCTCCATGCACAAACACACACTCAAGTTATGCTGGGGCAACTGTTTGTGGTGCAGCCACCTCTGAAGTGCAGGGGAAAAGCTGGTGGAAGAGGACTGAACAGACAGAGGTAGGGAAGCACAGCAGATAGTGCAACTGTTGACCGGGCTTTAATTTAGACACTGAGTTGTGCTGTTGGAGTCCAGTGCTCATATAACCTGCTAGTTGCAAACTCTGATGGAGATTTACATGCAGATGCTGTGTTCCTTCAGAGAATGTATTAAAGAGTGTCTTCCATTATTAATAGTACAAAGTTATAGCAAACAATAAAGCCTACAGAGTATTTTTACACGTTCTGTTTCACCTAATGCTCTTTTATTATCTCGCCCTTTTTTTGTTTGCAGTGTCAGCAACTCACAAAGAAACTAAACAGTTCTTTACTCTTTATAATACACTGGATGATAAGAAAGTATATTTGGAGAAGGAGGTAAGAAAATATTGCTGTTTTATAAATGTTTAGGCTGTGAAGATGATGCAGTGTTCTTGCATAGCTTTCATGCTCAGCCTCATCAGAGAAGGGTTAATGATCTTTACAAGCAAAACGAAACAACTTCGTAAGAATACTTCAATACCATTAATAGGAAAAAGGTTATTTAAAAGATGTTATCATTAGTATGGTATGTTCAGATCCTCTTACTACGTTACTATTTTTTGTTATGAATCAATGCTATAATTACTGAGCTTTGTACACCAAATTGCAGCTGCTTTCAGCAACATTACAGTTAATTTTCAAGGTTTCATCCTGCTTATGCTGAAGCTGCTGCTAAGTTTAATGGATAAGGAGTACCAAGGAGTATTTTCCTCAAAACAAGTTGTTATTCCTTCCTCTGTCCCTGCTATACAGAGTTGGGCTCTTACTTGAAGATGACCTAATCAAGTGATTTCAGTTCTTTTTCTTCTAATAATAGATGAGGAAATAGGTGTGGAAATGGGAGCAATTAAAGCTTGATTAAAAATGACAGCATCAGGCTCCCCTGATTCTAATAAGATAAGAGCTACACTTCTTACTCAAAGCAAGCATCTCCAATAGTGGAGCATGTATAACTGTTCTGCAAGCCGGGTCAGTATAGAACATTTGTACTGATGAGTGTTATGTATAAATGCAGCTCTTAAAGATATTTGGTATTTTTAAAAGGATATTTTCATTTGTTACTCTGTTCAGCTTGTAAGCATGGGCTACAGAAGCATGAAACTCTGTTTTGCTACTTTGTCACTGCACCTTAAATCAGTTAGGCAAGCCTTACGCAGTCTCTGCGTATACCTGTGCACCATCGTGCTGAACCCTGCGTGCGTGTGTGGGTTCAACACATGTGGGTTCTCTAACTTGAATTTCATCTTGCTGTTCATGAATATTCATTCTGCCAGTGTACATATCCTGTTTTTTTGTTGATTTTGTTTTAAAACCTATTCACAGGTTAACCTGCTGAATTCTATTCATGACAACTTCCATCAGTAAGTAATTGTCAATTTTCTCTTGATACTTGCAGTAAGTAGTAGGGCTGTTTGGCTCCCCTTTTTTCCAAAATTGGTGAGATGTTTTGTTTTTTTTTAAGCTATAATATGAAATAAAATAATGAGTTCTATTTAAAGTAGTGTTTGGGAAGGCATAGGCTTGATATTGTCTAATATGTGTAGTCAACATATGCTTTAATGTCTCGCTCTTCAGTTGCACTTGTGGGGAAAAACTAATTCAGTCATAATTTTCCTGGCATTAATTGAAATATTTTTTCGTTTCTGTGAAGTTGTGGCTACTGTGTTATGTACAACACATTAGACTTTAGATGTGTGTTAGATATGCTTATTAAAGAGTAACTCTATTTAATAAAGTTTTGATGAAGTGTGAAATAGGTAAAATTATGATCCCAGTGGAAGTTCAAGGTCAAATACCAGTCTGTGATGCAGCCAGCATTTGTGTGGGTGTTTTGTTTTGTTTTTTTTTTTTTTTTCTTCTTCTGGGTAAAGGTCTGGTGTAAATGGCTGTTTTAATAGTTCTAAACAGTTCTTCCTACTATATCTTTTTAAATTCTCTTGTGAAGTTTTATGACACTTATTCAGAGAAATTCATGATTTTCTTACGTGTTTCTATCTACTCATGTCTTTCTGTTTTGAGTCAGAAATTTTGAGTTATTTTTAATTACCTTTTTTTGCCTGTTGTGATATTCAAAGCCTTTAACTGCTGCAAAAAGAACTGAGATGTTTTATTTTGTAGCCTAAATCGTAAATCTGTTTTGTTTAGTGATTAAATTGTTTTGGTTCTGACCAGTCAGTAGAAATTTGTGTTGTAGTTTGGCACATTTTTGACATGTATATTTTCATCTGTTCAAATTATGTTGAGAGTCCAAAATCGCTAATAATGTACAAAGCTGTGTTTATAATATTTATTGATCTCCTAGTCCTTTAGTCACCTTCCTTGTTTTCACATCAGCTGCTCTTAAAAATTGTTTGCAGAATTGCTTTTGGTTAGGTAACAGCAATATGTTCTTATGAGAAAATAGTTCTTATGTTCTTGTGAGAAAATAGTAGACTTGTACTGCCAGGGAGAATATTTGATGGGGCCTGAAGTTCTGCATTGTTATCTGAAATCAGTAACTTAATTTTTTACTTAAAATATAGGCAATGTGTATAGGCAGAGCTAGATATATATATGAAAGATAGAAAAGATGAAAAGTCATCCTACCTGTTCATATCAGTTGTTACCTTTTTCTCTTTCCAGAGCAATGGCTTCTTCTGGTTCTCGTGAGCAGTTTTTACGGCAGATGGAGCAGATTGTAGAAGGCATTAAGCAGAATCGGATGAAGGTCTGAGACTCTTCTCACTTTCTTTGCTAGAAGCAGGGAATTATTTCAGAAAACCTTTTGAGTACTAACTATGTATGGCGAAATCTACTGTGTTAATGGAGCAAATTAAGCACCTAAAATGTCCTTTCCTCTTCAAATCCATGAGAAAGTTCTCATCACTAAAATGTTATTGAATAGAACAAAGCAGAGGTATTGCAACACTCTGCTTCTGGTAGGCAGGTTGTAGCACTGGAGTTTAGTGGCACTGTAGTGATTTTGATGCTTGAAAGAGCTGTACACCAAGGCTGGTGATGTAATGAAGGTCTCAAGGTGAAACAGATTATGAAACAGTGAAGATAAGCTTGAAGGCAGTTGTTTTTTTCCTTTTGAAGGACTGACATTTTTATCTGTGACAGAAAGCAACTTCAGCAAACAAACTTCACGAGTCCAGTGTTCTTTGGTCTTCTGTTCTCCATTTTGCATATAGAAATGGGTAACAGTTCAGCATTAAAGAGTGATAACCGACTGGGAGCTCTGCAGTGACTTTCTTCAGGTCCCTTGCAACCTTGAAGTCCATGAAATTATTCTATGCTCTTGTTATGTTCTCAAAGGTATTCAAAAGCTTTGTCTGCTTCATGTGCAAAGAAGAGAGGAGTAAGGGAAAGGGAAATTTCATATCAGATAATGGACATTATTTGGATGTGATCTCTGCACTTCTGAGGGTGGCTGAAAGCAGTGGCCACTTACCTCACTGGGGCTGCACTTTCTCCTTTGGCAGTTTTGCCACTTGGATGTTGTGAGTGAAGTCACAGCTATAGCTAATAACCAAGTGTCTGAATATGTTTTAGCAATGTACTTAGCCTCATTCTAAAGGAGTGGGCTGCATGTGATGATGGATTCTCTGCCACCTGTCTTGTTCTGGTTGTGGAGAGACATTTGAAACAGGAGAGGATGCAACAAGACTATTTATATGGCTCGCTCTTAACACCAGAGAACAGGAGGAAAAAAATACTTTCTATTAGGAACCTTTCCTGTGGCCCTTATGATGAAAGGATTTCATTAGGGCTACTCCTGAGAGGAAGGCAGTCTGTTTTGTAATAAGCACTGATCCTCTTCCTAGGCACAGCTTTGGCATATTCCTCTCCTAGGCTGACAGAGCAAAAAAGTGTAAATTTTTTAAGTGTAGGTCTTGTGCAAATAGAGCATTGTGTAGTAATGTTAAAGATGCCTCCCCCATGACTGATGCAGCAAACCTAAACACCACATAAAGATTTCAGTTTCACCCAAAAAACCCTTTTTGTTGTTGTTGATGGTTGTTTATTGACCTCACTGAGCCATTTTTGATATGTCTATAGCAGATACTTGTGTGCCTGTGTATTTTTGTATCTATAATACATACATACACACACACACACTATATGATCTTCTTCCTATATTCCAACAGATGGAAAAAAAGAAGCAAGAAAACAAAATGCGGAGAGACCAGTTGAATGATGAATATTTGGAGCTTCTAGAGAAACAGAGACTTTACTTTAAAACAGTGAAAGAATTTAAGGAGGTAAGAGCATTTTTGTTAAATTAGACTGGTGAGTGCTCGAGCTCATAGCTGCGTGCTCACAAAGCTGTTTGCTCAGCTATGCTGGTTGCTTCTGAGTGGATCATAAACTTTGCTTTTAGTAAGGAGCAAATTTCTAGATGTATGGATTTGCCTAGAAATTTTTCTTTCTTTCTGAATAACTCTTCTGAAGTCTCCTCAAAGTTCAGTCACAAAGAAAAGTGGTCTGAGGACAGGTACAATCTCATTCTGAGAATTAGCTTTTTGTTACAGAGAAATGGGCAATTTTCAGATTGTTGGAATGGTCGGAGTGTTTTCTTAGCACTAGAACTGTATGGGTTTTCTGGTTTTATATTTTTTAAGGCTGCTAATGTAGCTCATTAAAATACCATTGAGGAGCAACTCACTGAAGGGCAATAAATGACTTTATTATAAATACTATAATTACATACTAGAGGATAGTCAGCTGCAGAGTTGCCAATACATTAAAGAAAATCTCGGCAACTAATTGGCGGTAAGGCTGTGTTTTTGGAAGAGCAGGTGACTTAATTCCTCTCCTATTGAAGTCCATGATGGCAGAGGCAGGTCACAGGCCCATTTTTCAGGGGTAATTTTAATGGCCTAAGTAGTAATATTTTTGTTGTAGGTATTAATGATGCAAATGTGTTAATGATGTGAGAGCTAATGAGACCTGTTTTACTCTCTTAAACTTCTTTTTGTTTGTCATATGTATCCTTGGGATGAGGTGTTAGGCCTTAGAGGTACTTTTTACCACAGTAATGGGAAGAAACCTTAAAAGTACCTTAAAAATCAACACATGTTTTAGAATGGCATTGGTTTGATAACAGGTAATGGGTACATGTATGTACACACCTTTCTTGACTTGTAGTGTTGCATGAACACTAACTTTTTTGCAAGTTATTTTATGATGTTCCAACTTACCTATCAGCAATCTTAATTTTTCAATGCATAAGTAAAAAGACATATTTGCTTTAGCTACTTAAAACAATTTTAGACTAATGACCAAGCAGCATTTTTTGTCTTATACATCATAAAGTTTAATAAATATGCCATTGAAACAATATTTTGGATGAATCAGAAATATCTGCAGGTCATCACTCACTGGACTACTTTGGATCTTTGAGGTCTTTCAAAATAAGAGGCTTCAGTTTGATGTGAAGATCTATATCACAGCTAAGAGAGACAAGAGTGCCTACCTAATCTGTTTGCTTTTTGTTAACAGGAATGCCGAAAGAATGAAATGCTGCTGTCTAAGTTGAAAGCTAGTTCTCCCTGAAGGACTCCAGCTGATGAAGTTAGAAGCAGTTGTTCAGTCTGTAAATTGAATCTTTCGTGAAGTGACAATAACTGCAATGTTGACATACAAATATATATGTGTGTGTGTATGTATATATGCACATATATATACACACCTGTAGAAGTCTGTCTTTTTCCAGTATGTATTCTGTTTTACATTCCTTCATTTATTGGCTGTATTATTCATTATTTTCTCCACTACACAGTAAAGAGTTAATGCAGTACAGAAAAATAGAAGTACTGTGTAACTTTATTTATTTGGGTATGGGTTTTTCACAATGAGGATGATGGGATTTTTTTTTTTTAAACACTGAAGAAAGTTAAAAATCTGGAGAAAGTAGATGTGCACTTCGCTGGTAACATTTGCAGGTGTTATTTTCAAATACTATAAAAGAAATACTGCAGAATGCAAAAATCTGATAATTTTAGGCAAAATAAACACAGAATATAGTTCCTAAAATTCTTTTCACTAATAACTTCACATTATTTAAATTAACATTCTAACCATAAATGAGACTCCAAAGGGGAAAAAAAAATAATTCCTAATAGTTAAGACTGAAGAACATGGAAACTCAGCTTGGATAATTCTTGGTGTAAAAATATAGATTTATATTTTTATAAAGTCTAGTTGTATACATTTTTTTGAAATTCCATTTTTATATATACAGAGAGTGCTTGTTAAATTAATAGCTTCAGGAAAACACACCTTAATCACTAGGAGCATCATGTTGCCAGATCTGGGATGAAAAGCAGTCTGCTTCAGCTGTAACATAGGAAGATAACGGTTCAGGTGTTCTGCTCAAATGAACTGGTGCTCATCTTTGAAGAACACAAGTTATTTATCCTGGCTGAAGATTTGCTTTTAAAAGTTTAGAAAAGCCTGTTGAACATCACCTGGAACACTTTTATACTTGTACATACAGTATTTTATAATTCATGTAGCTGCTTTTTGTACTTCACTTGGACTGGACTTATGTACATTAAACCTTTTTTCAGGAAAATCAAAAAACATATTTCCTCCCCTCCACCCCTAATAACAGTGATGACCATGCTGTTAGATTACTTTCTATGGCAGTGAATACAAAATAAAAACATTTGGAATCCAGTGATGATCTGCTATTGTGTTTTTAAGGGGATGCACTTTTGCTTTCGAAGGCTTAATAATGCTTCTGAATTACAAATGCAATAAAAGATGAATTGTGCAAATGTCATGTAAATAGACCCTCACAGAGATGTTTTTCATGTGTAACATAGCAGTGGGCACCATTCTGTTTTCTCTTGCTGCTTTTAGGAGTTTGGTATTTGGAACAAGCTGACAAACCTAGTAGATGCCAAGGAAGTCCATCTAAGGTCAGATTTCTCTTACCTAAGCATCAGTTTAAGATACAGATATTTTCTCAGTGGAGATAACACTGTAGTGCAATTAAATTGTATCTGATTTCAGTCCTTTTGAACGAAGTAGCATTTGAGTCCAATTTTATGCAAACATCGTAGCATTGAAAAGGAGAGTGGATTTTTTTTAATATGAAATATTTATTGATAGTCTGGATAAAATGCTGTGAGCATCCCCTTGTATCCCACAGCTGTTGAGGTTTAGATTCAGTGTGATACATCCTCTTGTAAACAAGTCTGCCTGTTAGGACAGTGACTGAATATATGCATGCAGATCCTCTTCTGTGACTTCCGAAAGTCAGTCAGTCTTCCTAGAGCTAGTGAAATAACGAAGACATAATATATGCATGCAGATCCTCTTCTGTGTCTTCGAAAGTCAATCTTCCTAGAGCTAGTGAAATAGCGAAGACAAGAACTTAAAATTCCTGTAGAAGGAACTTTGCACTGAGTGCTAATTGCAGGTATCCTCTGGTCAACTTTTGATGATAATGCATGAATTATAATACTACTAAAATCTGCGCACGTCACAATTTTACCCCCTTTCTAATTTGTAAAACAATTTGACTTAGGGAATCAAGATAACCAGTTAGTGAGTACATGCTCTGGCATATTTGCATATGATCTACTCTTTTAATAGTAATTTTGATTTTTCAATTTTGATTTAAAAAAATACTGCTTTAATTCATGTATTTTGTCTTTTAAAAAGAATTAATAAAGCTTTCAGATGTAGATATCTGAGAGATTAAGGTGAAATTCTGAGATGGCCTGTGTTTATCACAGAGGAGAACTTTTATTCCATATCATTTACTGGTTTAATCACAGTGTTAAAAATAGCAACTATAACTCCCTAGATGGATGGTTAATAAATACTAGTTGTGTGTGGATCAAATGGCACAAATGTTCAGTAAAGCATTAAATTTTATGCTCACCTGTTACACAGTAATCCTGAAACTTCAACACAGAATACAAAACATTGCATTTTGCTAAGAGCTAGTGCTTTAGACTAAGATACAAACAGAATCTGTCTTTTTGTGAAGATGTAGTTATTTCTGATAGAAAATAAAGTCAGAGTTGAGAGAACTTTTTGAAATGAGTCAACTTTTATATAACAGATTGAAATCCAAGGCACAGACGTTTGTCCCTGCTTTCAGTCCCCAGTGTTGAAGGGAGAGGAAGGAGAGGCTGGAGAGGTAAGGAAAATGTTGGCAACTATTTTTTGCTTTCTGTAGGCAGTCTGTGTATGTTAGAGAAACCATTGGTCCTGGTAAGTGGGGAGGAATCTGTAAACGGGATGAGAAGTGGCAGCTCTGTTAACAACCCAGTTTGTTCCTCCTCCTGCTCATCTTGGTTATCATGCTTAGCTGTCAGCTAAGTCTTACTGTGGAGGAACAACTCAAACCACAGCCTATGGCTCCTCATGGGGAAACAGTATCTAAATTGTTTTGGTATTGCAAACCTGATTTTGCTAAACAAAACCACATTAATTTTGGCTTCCATTAAAAGGATGATAACATTTGTCAAGGCAAAGGGCAGTAGCAGCAGGGACTAAGTGGAATTCTAAAGGAAGGACAGTAAATATTGTGATTATTGTTTACCTTTAAGTCCTTAAGTTTTAATGTAAACCATGACTTTTCTAGAGATTTCAAGTTTTTTTGTGTAATTAAGACACAGAATCACAAAATAGTTGGGGTTGGATAAACTTCTGGAGCTCATCTGGTCCAGTGCCCCTGCTCAGGCAGATTCAGTGAGAGCTGGGTATGTTTTGGGGCTGCTTCAGTCATCCATTTTAATTTCCTATCAATTCAGGTAATGCATTCAGCATATTTTCTTCTTTCCCAATAAATTTCAAAGTGAAGCCAATATCCTGCCCATATCACAACATTTTGATATTGCTCAATTAGCAGTTCCCATTAATGCTTTTCCTAATGAAGAAAAATCTACAGGATGGCAGTTGTGGGTGGCTAGATTAAATTAGTCTGGTGAAATTTGACAGCCACGGTATTATATGCATATAATTCTTTGCTTGCAAACCTTAAAAGAGAGTAGTAACCTCTTCAATCTTTCTTTGCCAAACCATGGAGCACCATGTATCTATCTGCAATGGTGAACTGTAAAATGTCCTTACGCTTATATCTAAGTATCTTCCTCTTTATTGTTGCTAAATCCCCTTAAGTAGCTCCTGCACCTGAAAAGTGTATGTATTGCAGGCATATTCCCACAAGAAATGTGTGTCTTACGCAGTAAAAGAATCATTTTTCTCCTCCAAGTTCCCTTTTATCTTTGCTTTCAAGAACCTTTTTGTAAAGCATTGTTGTAATTTTTGTTAATTGCTGTATAAATGAGAGGGTTAAAGAAAGAGGTGGAGTGGCAAAGCCAAAGAAAGATGCTTTTCCGGACAGGTGGGATGTTGTAGGAGCAGAGGGGACTTACTAATTTTGTGACGAAGAAAGGTATTCAGCACGCTACAAAAACTCCAATTAAGATGCCAGCCATCAAAACTGCCTTTTTTTCTTGTTCTCTCCATGTTTCTCCATCTGTCTGGGAAGTGATAGCTGCATGATGAGCTGTAAACACCATCTGTGGTTCACACACAACTTCCTTCACCTCAAAACAAAAGCAAACATGGATTCTTACCAAGACAATTTGTTTGAGTGAAGTATTATTTTTAAATGACAGCACGACATCTGTGCACCAACCACTAAAGACCCAACTCCATTCCTTCCATGCTGAAAGAAAACGTCCCAGAGCACCAGGCTTACCAGACTTCTCATTATGTTGGGAAGACTTCCGAGTGTGACTGACAAACAAAGGTAAATAAAGACTAACTGATGCCATGGGGATTGGGGATAGTCTTTCTCAGTTTATTTTAGTGGATACATTGATGCCTAAAGGGAAAACATGTCATTAAAGAAAGGCTAAAAAGGCCGGTATCTTCCGCATATCCCTAAATTAGAACCTCCTGCATTGTCGCATGCTCTTTGGGGTTTTTCAGGCCTGAATCATAAATGTATTTAATTGCACGGAAAGTTCTTTGGGTCATTTCCCTGTGCGCACATCCTCCGTGGGTGCTGGAGCACAGCTCCACTGGTAATTTTTCAGAACTCTCAGCTAACCCTGCTGATGTATCCTTCCATCAGAACCTTTTTTAATAAAGGACTAGGATTTCAGTGCAATCTTATAAGAAAAGTGTCTAATCTTCTGAAAATATTAGCATTTCATTATTAAAAATGTAGTCTTGAGTACCTGAAATAAAATTCATTATTTGGATATATTTCAGTAGAAAGTAAATCCATCAATTTCCCCTTTTACCACTTTTTCTTCATTCTGCTCACATTCTGCTCAGTTCTACTTGCAGTCTCACAAAATGTACTGAGTTCATTGCTGGAAAAAAAGAAAAGCACTTCACACAGCCTTCAGTTCATACTTTTGCTTCCACAGGAGGTGCATGAGAAAGCAGAAAATCAGCTACACCAAACTGCTGATATTGCCTCTTGACATTTATCTGCACAGTGCTCTAGCTGGCAGCGAGTCTGTGCCAACGGGATCTGCACACAGATTAGGTTATGCTCAGAATTTACCCAGAAAAAGATATTTCCGTGTAATTTTACTCCCATGATTGAAGTATCTGTGAATTTATAGTTCTGCTAAGCGCTACAATTATGAGGAAAGCAGTTTAAGGATATAACCTGCAGCTCTGAAATTGGTCTAAGTGATGATTCATGATTTCATAGGATTCATAGAATTGTAAAATCTTTAAATCTTTTCAAAGATGGTTTGTGGTTTAGAAGTTATCTACCTGTTCTACATTCAGATGCCCCCTTTGTGCAAGCATTATAATAGATGAAGTGCCTGTGTTTAATA